CCCCTCCCCGGCCCGCCCCACGCGCGCCTCCCGAGGGGGCGCCCCCTTCCTGGGATCTCAGCCCCTCCCGCCAACGGTCAGAGGGGCCCCAGCAGAGACTCGGGTCTGCGAGGAGCTGAGACCAGGGCCAAAGCGGGGCTGGCGGAGCGGCCCTACCGCAGAGGGGAAGGGAGAGGGGCGACTCGGAAGGCTGCAGGGCGGAGCAAGGTGGGGTCTGGAGAAGGCAGCCAGCAGAATGGGAAGTCTTCCGGCGAGACGGGGCACAGGCAGGCTGAGGAAAGGAGCCGGGCAGAATAGTACGGCTGGGGATGCAGGAGGGCTGGGGCTACGGCGACCCAGAGCCGAGGGGGACGGGCGGTATTCGTACTGACTACGGCGACCCAGAGCCGAGGGTGACGGGCGTTATTCGTACTGCGCTGGGCCGGGGCCCGGCGCCCTTAACCTTTCCCAATTATGCCGCCCTCCGCGGCTTCCCAGGCGTGCAGGTATTCGGCTGGGGTCTGAGCTGCAGGCAGGGGAAGGGAAGGGCCGGGAAGAGCGGGGCATCCCCGGGAGTGTCTGGGCGGCCCTCTGGGCAGGTCCGGTCGGGGCATCCCCGGAGACCGATTCCTCTGCTCTGCGCGCCGCCGCGGCCCCACCCTGAATCTGCGGCAGCCCCAGTGGCCTCCCTGAAGGGAGGCACTAATGCCCAGAGCCCGCGGGCGGGCATGGCCGGGACACCGGATAAAACCGAGAAGGCCCTGGCAATGCATCGAACCCAGAGCTGGAGCCAATGTTTTTATTTAAAATTTATTGTAATGGGATCCGCGCAAAAGAAGGGGGTGGGGGGTGGGAAACATGCAGGGGACACAGGAACACGATGGCATGGCCAGGGCCACAGCTTGTCATAGGGAAAAGGGTGAAAAGAAAAGACCAGGGCTGGAGCTGGGTGGAAGAGGGAAAGGCGACGTTGCCGATGGGCTGCGTTTCCCCTGCCCCAGGAAGCACCTCTATCCCAGCTCCACTCTGCGCCCAGCTCTAGGAGTCCATCTCCTACTCTGCCCCTGGCCCTAGTGGCTCCTTCTTTTCATCCCCTTCACTCCTCCCGCCCCACACATTCTTAAGCAGGATGATGTTGAGGGCCCAAACCCAACCACCCCATCTGGTGAAGATCTAACCTCTGCCTTTCCTGCTTCTCTCCTCTCACGGTTCTCCCTTTAGGACAGAATCTTTGATTCTCCTCCTTCCTCTCCTCCCTCCCCCTGGAAAAAAAAAAGCACCAACTCCCCAGGGAGGGGCAGCAGACAGTGGGGGAGAGGACCGGAAGGAGGGGCAAGGCTCACAAACCCCGGGAGGGCTGGGGGATAAGAGAGGAGGGGTAGGGCAGTGGCTGCTCCTGTCCTGATATCCCTGCTCACTGTCCACAGGACTTCAACAGCTGAGAGACAGGTGTGTGCAGGGTCAGCTCTGCTAGGGAGGGGAGGAGCAAGAGACACACATCGTGAAAACCTAGCGAATTCCCCCTAAGGGTGCTTTTCTCTTTCTCTCTGGAGGCTCCTTGGTTGGAGAAGACTAGTGAGGAGCTGGTGGGACCAGAGAGGGGGAGAGGAGACTGTACCAGGGGGGCTTCCCCCCTGCTCTCCCCTCTCCCCCTACCAACTAGGAGCTCACCAGGGCTGGGAGGGAAGTGGCTGAGAGCTCACTGGCACCCCCTCGGCCCCAGAGAGGGAGCCCACAGCTGTGGGAGGGGCTGCCACTGCCGCTGCCGCTGCGCCTGCTGCCGCTGCCGCCGCCGCCATGGGACAAACCTCACCAGTACCTGCAATGAGAAGCACCACGATCGCAGCGCACCCTGAATGGGGAGAGCCATGCCCTTTACCCAGACGCCCCTGGGACACAGCCGTTGTTCACTTCCTACCGGGTCCCCAAGCTCTGGCCTGCCTCCTTAGCGGGACGAGGGTTCTCCTGAAGGGCCCTCCTTGGCCCCCAGATCTCCCTAGCCTGAGCTGGCCTTCCTGGGATCCCCTAGTGGGGCCCTTTGAGCCCCATGTCCCACACACCTCATCCCGCCCCCCAGCCATGCCCCACGCCTTGCCTGGTGGGTGCGGGGGTCCCCCTCAGCAGGTGGGCTGTGGCTGGGGGGCATCTCCCGGGACAGGGGGGGCGGCCCCCCCCAGATGGGTCTGCATGTGGCCGGCCAGCTGGGCAGGGGTCTTGCAGTGCACGCTGCACAGCTTGCACAGGATGCGGTCAGCCCGCGGGGCCTGGAGCCCGTGGTCCTTCACCGCGTGGATGCGCAGGTATGCTGT